TGTTATTTTGAACAACAACCATGTACTCACGGGCCAAATTTGCAGTTATTTCGGACACTCCCCTGCAGATTGGAATTTGCCTGACAGCAAACATGTACAAGAGCTACACAGGTGTAGCCGAAAGAAGATTGTCTGCTACTCTGCCCGGTGCCGTCCCAACGACGCTAAGTGAAGACTGACCAGGCGCAGTAGTCACTAGTCAGTAGATACCCTCCACGGCGAATCCTTTGTGCAGCTGGCACAATTCATCACAAAGCCAAGGCTGACAGCTCCTCAAGTTTGGCACATGTTTGGCATCTTCACATGGCATCCGGATTACTGTAGAAGCTTCAAGCTACACCCCCCCAACTCATCCACAGAAGCATCTTCTAGGATCGGGAAGAGACGGCTGCCTCTTTTGGCAGGTGGCCTTTGCGCACAGCATGGTCTGGTTTTTGACCCTGCAGATGTTTCTGGCCACCGTGCCGGTGCCCGAGAAGTCCGCTAAGCTTTCTGCTAGTAACTTCCAGCGTCAGAGAGCGTTGTGCCGAAAGCGAGACTGTCGAAGGTCAGGGGCGATCACTTGGCCATGGTCCGCGCAGTTGGATCGCTCTGAGGCTGGATCCGAGATCCTTTGTGGGAAACTGTCTCGTAGCAAGTCTTGAAGCCCGGATTTTGCTTTCGGGTCCAGGAGGCCGACAACAAGCGTGCACTGGACCTGAAGTGCTGGGCAGTGATCCTGGGATCGGGCTCCAAGCTCTTTGCGCTGAGCAGAGTTGTTTGGGCTTTGGGAGCTACGGGGCCACGGGAGGTATGCTGGTTTTTGAAGGTAGTTTTTTTCTTTACATTCGTTTAACATGTTTCTGTTTCAGTTTGGCTCCTTTCCGCAGCCAAGCAAGCAAGCAGGCAAGCACGCAGGCAAGCATGCACGCATGGAAACAGGCAGGTGAGGAGGACGGCGAACTATGTTACCACCCTCAGGTGGTACCAAACTTGAGGGGTTGCTCACAGAACGGAAGACAGACAACAAGACAGAAGAATCGCGGGGCGCTTCCCGGGAAAGCGACATCGCCGGAGGCCACATCACCGGCTTCGCCTTCATCAGTGCCTGGCCGGGAGCTGTGGTGATCTCTCTAATTGGGTGGTTGTCAAAATTATGGCCCCTTTTTGGGTCCTTATTATAATACGGCACCTATTATTTAGGGTACCCCAGAAGGGACCATAATTTTGACAACTCCCCAATTGAAGTCGCCGAAGTCGCTATGATTTCCACTCCGCTTATCTTCCACTCCAGAACGCGCATGAATCCACAGAAGGTCGCAGCTGCACGAGCACTTTGACGGTTCCTTGATCATCTTTCCGCTCGCGTGCGCAGAGATCTCGGGAACTCGTCTTGCCGCAAGCATTCTTGCCTCTGTGAGGTACTGCGTCCTGCGGCTACTTTTCAAGCTGGCGGACCCCGCACATCCCTGTACAGCCAGTGCCAAGTGACTCGTAGGAGCCCGTGCGCTTCCTTAAGCTGAGGGAATTTCTCGGCAGGAGAAGGCCCGCGAGGTTGTTATCTACGCAGACGATGGTGAGAAGGCTCGCTTCTGAAACTCCACTCTGGCTACTTGGGTTGGGGGACCGGTGCTGGTGGAGTGGGCAAGGCAGCGTAATTTATGGTTTCGGAGTTCCGTGAATGTGCTTTTGACAGAGACTCCTTTGTGCCGTTGTCTTGACGACTGGAAGCACGGGGAAGCCTCATGCCGGACGCTGCACAGATCGTGAAGCAGCAACCTGAACCGTTGGCAGTACCGCGAGCCGGAAGTGCGACATGGATCACGATGGTACAGAGTACTGAAGTAGAATGGATCGAGAAAGAACGAACACAAGATATCACAACATATCAGCCACCAATTGTTCAACCCAGCACACCGAACGAGCAAATTCCGAGTGAAGCATTATTACCCTGCAGTTTTCAATAGTTCCAGAGAAGCAGCTACAAAGGGTAATGAGAAATACGTGCGCCGGTTGCGCGACATAGAGTCAGGACCTGCGAGACGAAGGAGCAATATAAGAAGCATGCCCGACATCGTGG